CCTCAAGGAGTGCTATCCGATGTATAGCGGGACAAGTGTTCATGGGGAAAATTGGGGAGACGGGGATTACTCTGTAGCACATTAACAGAACCTTCTCTGGGAAGCAGACAGGCAGCTGGAATCCACAAAGCTGCCAGAATATAAACTATGCTTCCTATAGTTACCCCAATTTTAATGGAGGGATCATGGAAGATATTGAAAAGGACGTGAGGGGAGTAGTGTAGACATGTTTTATCTAGATAATTTAGAGAGCAAGATAAAAATTTAAAAATTCTTAACTGCTGAAAGGCCAACTACATACAAAAAATTGTTCAATGAAGAGAAATGATTTCTAGTAGCAAACTGAAAGGTTCTATCCTATGCCTTCTTGGATAAGATTTCCCGCCCCGCCCTCCTCCCCTCTCCCCCACTGAGGAAGATTCACTCTGAGCTAACATCCATTGCCAATCTTCCTCTATTTTTTTTATATGTGAACTGTCACCACAGCATGGCCACTGACAGATCAGCGGTGTAGGTCTGCACCCAGGAACTGAACCCAGGCCACTGAAGTGGAGCGCACTGAACTTAACCACTAGGCCACAGGGGCTGGACCCTAGACAACATTTTTTAAACATCAGATTGGATAAAAGATATGCTTATTTTAAAAAAAAGAAAGAAAGAACGTATGTTTGGAAGGGGCAGTCAACAACTTTAAGAGCAATGCCAACAACAATCCTGACATGATAGAACAGTAGACTGAATCTACGAAGTTTATATGGATGAGTGACAAAACCAAAGAGAGACAAATAACCAACTGCACCCACACAGACAAGAATGGAGAAGACGGGACAGAGCAGCAGCACCTCAGGAGGGAAAACCCTGGGTGGGGAGTGACTGTGAGCTCAGTGGGAATCACAGAGCAAGGTCACAGCCCAAAAGGCTAAAGCCAACCTGGGATACACTGGTCAGAGTCGCCTTCCAGAATGATGGAGGCCTCAGCTGCTCTATCTTGGTCGCCCTGCCCCTGGAGCAGGTGTTCAATAAGGCCTGGCACTTGAGCGGCGAGCATTCAGAAAACAGACGCAATGAAGAGAGACTCTGAAAGGCGTGAGAAAATCATCTAGACCAGTGCTGTTCAAGAGAAATATAATGTGAGCCACGTAAAAATTTTTAAATTTCTCAATAGCCATATTAAAAAAGGTGAAATCAGCAAAAATAGTTAATTTAATCACAAGGTATTACACTTCAACATATAATCAATATAAAAAGTTAACGAGATATTTTACATTCTTTGTTTCCATTCCACATCTTCGAAATCAGGTGTGTATTTTACACTTATAGCTCCTCTCAATCACATGTACATAGCAGTGAGAAGGTGGACAGGGGTAGTTCCAGAGAAGGAGACTGTGCCTCCTCTTTCCTAACAACCAGAGAATCCACCAGTGGAACAGGCTGCCTCGGGAGAGGGGGAGTTTCCCACTACAGAAAGAGTCCAAGAAAGGAAAGTGACAATACAGGGATGTTACACAGAGGGGATTTACACACCAGAGTGAAAAGGATTCTATGAGAAAGAACCACTCACTGTGGTGTGAAGAGATGGACCCAATTCCCTGGAGAAAACAGAAAACCTGGCTCCTAAGGGGAGAACTTAAGGGAAAAGAAGAATTCAAACAATGCAAGGAGCACCAGATAAGAGAAGTGGTAAGTCACTGGGTAAGTGGCCACAAACAGGATCTACACAAATCTGCAGGAAACAAACCTGCCCTGTCTTGCCTCTTCCATGTGGCGTTTATGGCTGTGTAGCAGGCTACCTGAAAACCATGCATCCCATACACGTTCAACATGGGGAGGTGTTACATAATGAAGAATGTCTAGTCTTTGTCCTGGATTCCCTGGGAGAGAACTTCTAAATCCTTGAGATTTCGTAGTGTCTTTGTTATTCATCGTTGGCCCTGATAGTTTATGCTAATGAGGTAACTCCTGCTGAGCCCCTAGATGTTATGCTAATGAGATTGCTGAGGATGGAGTAGGGCACCATGCCAACTATGTGATTAGAGGATTGGGACTTTCAGGAGAGCCCAAACTCCAGGGGAAAGGAAGAAGGACTGGACTGAGTTCAATTAAATCATGATTCTATCAATCATGCCTACATAATGAAACTCCAATAATAACTCTGGACACTGAAACTCAAGGGAGCTTCCTGGTTGGTGAACCATCTATGTGCCAGGAGGGTGACATGTCCTGATTCCACAGGGAGAGGGCAGGAAACACTAACTTGGGGCCTTCTCATGCTTCATCCTATGTATCTCTTCATTTGGCAGGTCCTGATTTGTATCCTTTACAATAAAATATAATAATAAGTATAGCACTCTGCTGAATACTATGAGTTGTTCTAGCAAAATAACCTGAAGTGGGCCACGGGAAACCCCCAAATTTGTAGCCAGTTGGTCAGAAGTACAAGAGGCCTGGGGACCCCTAAACTTGCAGCTGGCATTTAATGTGAGGGCAGTATAGTGAGGGTGTTCATGGGAACTCCTAAATTTATAGCCAGTTGGGTCAGAAGTGCAGGTGAGCTGGGGACCCCCTAACTCGCAGCTTGCATCTACAGTGAGGGCACTCTTGTTGGGGACCAGGCACTTTACCTGTGGGGTCTGTGCTAACTCCAAGTGGTTAGCGGCAGAACCGTATTGTAGTACTTTAGGAGGACAAACATATCTGGCAGAATTCTAAGTGGCTACAGAATCTGAGCCCTTCCTTTCCTGCCAGAGAACTATCAACCACCAGCCCTACTCAACTTTCTCTTAGCACTCTTACTTCCCTCTAAACCTCTAGGAAAAATGGCAAACGGGCCCTAAAATCAAAGTTGGCCTGCAGACATTTACTCCATTTAAGAAGGAACTAACGAAATGAAAGGAAGAAGTTAGGAAATTAACAAAACAACCACAAGAAGTATTTTACCTTTGCTTAAAACGCTTCTCTCACTAGTTCAGTGTTCCATTATAACACAAAATTGTGTGGGGAGGAGAAACCTTGTCAATGAAGAATAAAGTTCTGCCTTGAGTGAGGCATTTGAGGCTTTTATAACACTTTAAAAACTCATTTCCTTTTCACGCACATATGCAATTATATATCCTAGTATCTCCATTACCATAAATGTAATTTAACTGTTTGCAAAATGGCACTACAAAGCCTTTGGTTATGCCTCAAAAGCAATGAAAAGCCATGTGTCATTTAATACATGTATAATATGTATGGGGGGTGAAGGGTGTGGAGGGCACAGAGAGGGGAAAGAGGTGAGAAAAGGGTCAGAACTGAGTTGTAAAAGGAAACACGAAATTCTAAGCTCTAAAGGGCCCTTGGTGAGTAATGTTCAGAATTAAATAAAAAGTATAAGCATGGACAAAGCTCCAGGAGCAAGGTCTCCAAAGCCACCAGGTCCATATAATGCTTCTCACTGGGCATAAGGCTGTCAGCTAAGTCACTGAACTTGAGTGGTACAGCCCTTTTTGTTGGAGGGACGCAAGCCAGGTGATCTGAGGCAAGTCTTCTAACCTCTCTAAGTGTCAAGTTCCCTTACCTCAGCAATGTTACCATGGAAAGTCATTGTATTTGCATACACCTGGTACACAGTAGGTGCTCAGTAAGTGTCAGCTGTGTTAGCTAGAGAGGCTGAGGATGACACAGCAGCCCCTAAGAAAGGACCCTCCAGCTGCAGTACAGACAAGGGTTGCCCTCTGAGGTTCAGCTGCCACACTGAGCCCTTTCTCATGCCATTACTGGAACCTGTTATCCAAGGCTGGGGGCTGGTAGAGTTCCTGCTTCCTGCCTCACAGGCACACTTTTTAATATGTAGGCTACTTACAGGAGGTTGGCTTCCTGAAGATAATCTTTGTACATGTGGAGGTTACACCTCATGCTGTCATGTGACTACTGTGAACAAGATTACGCTTAACGGAGACACAAAATGAAAGTCATCTGATTTTAATTCCAAATGCCAAAATCATTAACTTGAATAGCAGACTGACCTATGTATTCTGTACATAATTAATTCAGGTCAGAATAACACTTAACGTTCAAAGCAAACTAGATGTAAAATTAGTAATTCATTTAACATGATTACTACGTTTTCCTTGGAATATTTTTATGTTATTAACCTGGCCTAATGTCACTATAAATCCAAATGCACAAGACACACATTTTACATAAACGGTTCATTTTCTGTTCTTACATAATGACCAAGTTACCAAATGGTCTATGGAATATCTTTTCCAAATACTGGATGTTTTACATTTAAGGTTACAAAATCAAACAATTTGAGTATATGCTTACCATGTGTCAAATTTTTGAAATAAAGTAATAATGAATAAATTAAACGATTATATAATTTCAGTTATCAAAAGGCAGGAGCAAGCCTAACCTACCTGGAAATTAAATAGCAATTCACTCCTCCTCCTTCTTGTCACTTAACAAACCAACCACTTATAGATTTCTACTCTTCAAACATATCAAATTAGCAGCATGTTAGAGCTCGGTTTCTTCAATTTTAGAACAAGATGATTAGGCTGAGTCTATGTCTCAGGCAAGGTTAAGCACTTGACACACACCATCTCTTTTAGACCTCAAAATAATTCTGAGATAGGTATCATTAGTATCCTCATTTTACAGACTAGAAATGGGAATTCAGAAAGGTTAAGTAATAATTTGCCAGGATGCAAGCCCAGGCAGTGCAATTCTTGAGCTCTAGCTTCTAGCCACTACTTCATCCTACAGTGTCTTCTGAGTTTAGGCATGTCATGATCTATCTTTATCTGCATTAACATTAAGTGGAGATGTTAAGTTTCCAAGATAGGGACTATCTATATTTAATCATGTACATAATTAATGTAAACTGACCAATAATGAAAGACTTTCATTTTATACATATTGTATACCAGGTGAGCCCCCAAAATTTTTTGCTGATTAAATAATGTGATTAAAAATCACCATTCTCCACCAAATTACCTACAGTTAATAAAGCTTACCTCAATCAATTTGTTGGCATGTTCACGGAAGACTTGAGCATATTCCTTAACTTCTTTCTCATTTCCATTCTTTGCAGCTTCAATCAATACTAAAAGTGGGACGTTGGTTTCCAGGAATGAATCCGAAACATGGTCCATGACAGCTTTGCGGAGCTAATAATTGAATTGTAAAAATTTTATTTTATTTCTACCAAGAAGCTAAATTGCTTTTTTCTCTTGTAGTTTTAAATCTAGTGAAAGCTTGGCTTCACAATAGCATGGCTGTACTTGTATGAGGACCCTTCATGGAAGCCATGCTGTTATATAATCTGCAACATAGGCAACACAATCATGGAGATAACGATTTACACTACAGTTACAGCATATCAGCAACAGAATCTCAGTTTTCAAGATAATATCCTTTTTTCTTGAGAATTACAAAACCAAAGCTTGTATCTTAAAGGAATAACTCAAAACTGAATAGACAGCAGCTCTGGGTTGAACTGGCACATAGCCTTGGAATATACGTAATCAGCCTAACTGGCTAAATAAAAATGAGAAGAGAGGAAAACAGCACTTTCTGGTTTATCTGTTCAGGGTTAGCACACCATGAACCTTAAAACTGAAAGGTTATCTTTATAACTAATTCACCAAAAGGAAAATGAATAAAGATACACTCCACCTTTAATTTTGCTTTATATTAAGACATGAATAACAAAATATATCTTCACTAAGTGTAGAAATTATTTCTACAATTTCTTTTTCTTTTTTTTTTTTTTTGAGGAAAATTGGCCCTGAGCTAACACCTGCCGCCAATCCTCCTCTCTTTGCTGAGGAAGACTGGCCCTGAGCTAACATCCGTGCCCATCTTCCTCTACTTTATATGTGGGACGCCTACCACAGCATGGCTTGCCAAGCGGTGCCATGTCCGCACCCAAGATCTGAACCGGCGAATCCCGGGCCTCTGAAGCAGAACGTGCGCATTTAACCACTGCACCACCAGGCCAGCCCCTACAATTTTTTAAAAAAATCTTAATACATTGTTTTATAAATCCAATGCTACTGGGTTTTTCTTTTCCTCTGAGGAAGATTAGCCCCGAGCTAACATCTGTGCCAATCTTCCTCTACTTTATACTTGGGTTGCTGCCACAGCATGGCTGACAAGTGGTGTAGGTCCACACCCAGGGTCTGAACCTGTGAACCTGGGCCACCAAAGCAGAGCATGCTGAACTTAACCACTAGGCCATGGGGCCAGCCCCCTCAACTACATTTTTTTTCTTTTCCCCAAATCCCACCAGTACTAGCTGCATATCCTAGTTGTGGGTCCTTCCAGTTGTGGCATGTGGGATGCCACCTCAGCATGGCTTGACAAGCGGTGCCATGTCCACACTCAGGATTGGAACCAGTGAAACCCTGGGCCGCCGAAGCAGAGTACACGAACTTAACCACTTGGCCACGGGGCCGGCCCCTCAACTACATTTTTTAAAGACTAAAACTAAATTCAATTCCAAACTATTAATGAGATTATTTACCATTAAATGAAGAGATTCTCTCCTCTGTATTTACTACCTCAGAAAATTGAGTACCCCAAATATCTCCAGACCCACCGTATTTGTACTAGAAACTCATCTCCACCAAGGATCTAAGGGAACTGTGAGTGTGCCATCAGAACAGGGCAAGTCAAATAAATTACTCCAATTTCTGTCTCTACTATTTGTGAACTAATATCACAAGATGCTTCAGGGTACTTTCACATGTCCCCAAGTCATGGTAAATTGATTTTCTTACCTGTACATCCTTTTCACACGAGAGCTAATTTATTCAGTCTATCCCAGTGGGACTGTATTATTCTAGATACCCAAGAGATTTTAGTAGCCATTTAAAAGTTTATTAGCAACAAAACAGAGACAGATAGTCTGTTTCCTGTGAAAATCCATCCTTTACTCCAATAAAAGATAGAGGTCCAATATTTATTGAGATTTTATAACCAAAACTACAAAATTGAGAACTTGGGGAAACAATCAGCACTTTCTTTCAGCTTACCTGTCTACGCAAGTCCCTCGTCTTCTTGGTCATTTTATCTATTGCAGAATTGAGTGCATCACTTCTTTCTTTACGTCCAGCCTGGAAAAAAAGGAAAGAGATGCACATTTTAGTAATTCACAGGGAAATTTAATGATAGCTGACAGCTATCTGTGCTCAAATCAACACTGAGAAAACAATCAATTGTTTTGGCACAAAGCTGGAAAATAAGGAGGGGAGAGGGAGGGTGAAGAACCATGTGGCTTTGTTCATAAAAAACTAACCTTACAACTCTTAGCCTCCACATTATCCCATGATGGGAATTGAGGGAGTTTTTCCAAAATAAAAGAAGGCAACAGATAAGACTTTCGTTTAACGTTTCCCTTAAAAAATTAAATTTATATTTTAATTCAAGGTTCAGCATACACCAATTTCATTAAGGAACTAGCCCTCCTTGAACTGCAAGCAAGAACAGGTTACACCTGATTTTGATGAACTCTGAGATTTGAAGGACATCAAAATGGGAAAGATGGCATCTGGCACTAAAACAACGTGAAACAACAAATTTTAAGACTAAGATAAACCATCATAGGTCAGAGTTAATGATGTATATTATGCAGCTTGAACAAGAATGCTTTGTAAGATTACTTCAGCCCTATTTTTTAAAATTCTAAGCTGAGCTTAATGCAATTGTACTGCACAGAAAAGAACATATTAGCCACCCTGAGAAAGGTATATAAATCAGCATTTCTTCAGAGGTCAAGGGGTCAAGTTGAAATTTGCCCCAGAGAACATTCTAAGCAGACTCAAAATAGATCATAGTTGAAAGAAAAGGGACAAAAGTAGTTATCCCAGGTAGAGCTAGCCATGTGCTTGGAAATACCTAGTAAGACATCAGCTGGGTTAAACTAGGAAGTATATTAAAAGTTTTTCCTTATAAAATGCCCAGCCAATAAATGTGGCTCTTTTTGTAAAACATAGTAATCACAGGAAAGATACAAATGGACAAAGAAATTTAACCCAGTGTTCTACCTTTGGCTGCTCTCATGACATTCTGCTATGGACATCCCATCAATACATAAGCCAGCACAGCAAATGAATGGTTGGGGATGAGGGAAATGTGGTTACACATTTTCTGAGGGCCTTTTATGTACATTTGTTACTCACTTTCTTTCTTACTCCCAATCTGTTAAAAGGGAACAATGACACTTGTCCCTCTGCCCTCATCTCTATGGACTATTAGAGGAGAAAAGAGAAGGAATATTGGGGATACAGGTTATTTAGCAGAGGACAGAAAGGAGACAAGAGGGGAATTATGAATATTAAGAGTGGAAAATAAGTGATAAATTGATATGGTCACTATCAAATCTGGTCAAGGTCGCATCCCTTACCTTTCTCCACAATACTCTTGGTACTGCCAATAAAATTAAGCAGTCGACTAATGTTAATGGGTAAAAAAGAGTCTCAACAAAAACTGATTCAGGTATGAGAATTTCTACCTGCAAGAATAAACTGATTTACTCACGGCCATCAGTAACAAAAGAAAAGACAATCTATCTCAAAGATCAAAATACCAGGATCTAAGGCAAAGGCGGATAAAATTGAAGAGATTTTTTAAAACATCAAACTGACCTCATAATTAATGCTTTAATCAGGAAGGTCTCAGCACATTCCTTGGACACTCACTTGAAGAAAATTTCTCTAACTAAACCCAGTAAAGTTTGTCAACGTACCTAGCCACATATTTTGGATGTTTCTAACAGATTATTTATTCCAGAAAGTATCTGTTATCTGAAACCCAAAGGTTGGGCTCAATGACCTCATGAGAGCCCAATCCCCTGTAACCTCAAATGCCCAGAAATTTCCTCAATTTACTTTGAAAGTTATATAAAAGCAAATTCTTAAACTTGACTTTTGAGGGAATTAGAGTCGTGCAGCAAAATTCACTTTAAGACCCAACCCACACCATGAATCTGTTAATTCTGTCTTTGTCAAACTACTCTAAAAATCAATTTGTCTTTCTTGTTACTTGGGAAATAGAGGTTTATGCCTCATTAATCAGAAGGGGACAGTTCAGAAGTTTATTTACTGAAGCTTGTAGGTTATACTAGACTGACCATCTTTTAAATCAAAGCATCCCTTTAAAAAAAAAAAAAGATCCAAATAACAAGTTTAGGGTTCCAATCATTTAAAATATAATAGGGATGCATTCACAACAACGTGGATGGACCTCGAGGGTATTATGTTAAGCGAAATAAGCCAGTCAGAGAAAGACGAACTCTATATGACTCCACTCATAGGTGGAAGTTAGTATATTGATAAGGAGATCTGATCGGTGGTTAACAGGGAAAAGGGGGGGTGGAGGGAGGGTACAGAGGGGGAAGTGGTGTACCCACAACATGACTAACAAAAATGTACAACTGAAATCTCACAAGGTTGTAATCTATCATAACATTAATAAAAAAATATATATATATATAATAGGGATGAGTACACACACAATACACACACTTACAACCTTAACAATGAGCATGATGAAAGCAGAAAGCTTGCTGATCTATAAAACGTGATTTTACTTCTCTTTGAAATTAACGCTGTTATGATTTTTTATGTCTAGTTTTATCTAGGCCAAAGTAAAGCTGCTCAATGAATCTTTAAAATAAGTGACTCTCAGCTCCCACCTAGCTAAGACTCTATTCCCCAGAGCAGAGAGAGACCACCTAGGTTCACTCAATTTTGATATGTATGTTCCTGGTAAGCAATGACAAAGGGCTTTCTAAAAAAAGATAAGGTATGTTTGGATTTTAACATAAAGCTTCTCCTCAGCAAGTAAATATCAGCTGAGCTGAGGAGAAGCAAAGGTTATCAGGTGGGACGGCCTCTAGCAACACAGTTCTAGCCGAGATAGTGAAAGGGCTTTCAAAACTCATCTTTAGCAGAAGCATGAAGAAGCCACTCCACCTTCCTCCTGTGTGGACAGACTTCTATTTATTTAGACACACTCTTTACTGAGCACCTACTCTGAATCCATTGGAATGGGCCGGACTAGCCATTATCTTTCTCTGAAAGGGTTTATAATCTGAGATAAAATGATTCAGAGCAACACCTAATTCAGCAATACCCTGTATCGTGCTGGGTCTGGTAGGAGTTCTGAATGATGTTACAGTGGGTCAGAGTAGTAAGTAAAAACTATACAGAAGGTTATATTTAAGTTAGGCACTGGTTTTTTAAAAAGTATTAAGAACTAGAATTTCCTGGAGCAGTTTACTCACTTGGTGGTGACTTCTGAAAGAAGCAGCATTTTTTTTCTTCCAAAGAACCACTTCTTGCTTCACAAAGAGTAAGCATTCTCCTATAACCAGTTCACAACTACTCCAACCACTCCAACCTTTGCCACAAATGACAGCAGGTCTCAGTGCTCCACCTGCTGCATATACATCCATCAATTTCTCACCCATACCCTACCAGCTCTCAACTCCTGTTCTCAGTTGGGAAGGGATGAAATATCCAACAGCCCGGAAAGGATGAAATATGTCCCTGGCATTGCTAGGGGCATAGCATGGCGTGTTTTCGTCCCTAGAATTAATGTAACAAAGGTTCCCAGGTGAGCCTACAAAAGACTACTCAACCTAAAAGGTAACAGCACAAAATAAACACAATGCTTCCAGGGAAAAACACAAGGTGAATACTTCCACAACGCTTCCAGGGAAAAATGTGCTCTAATTTGAAGCATCTACATGATGTCTTCAGGGCTCTTCTGCCAGAGGCTTCCTTCTCTTTTTATTCTGCACTCTCCCTGCTGGAGCCCAGCCATTCCTATTACTTCAGTGACTATGGTCACTCTGCCATCGTCCATGCTATGATCCATCTATACACATTTTAATTCTTCAGACACGCCATGGTCTCTCGTGCCTACCTGGAATACTCTTCCCCTCTTCTAACTCTTATTCATTCTTTAGATGAGATATCATGCTTCCTTGTAGCAGCTTACTCTAGACACCCTCAACCCTAAGTTGCAGCTAGGTGTCCCTCTAAAGTGCTCCCACAACACCTCATGCTTCCCCTCACAGCCATTCTCAAATCATACCCTGGGATAAATATACCTGTTGACCTGTCTTCTCCCGTTGGACATGAACAAAGTGAAAAGCCAGTGACCAATTACAGACATGTTTAAAAGTCACAGGACTTAATGTGTGCTCTAAGCGGCAAATTATCAGTCTCCTGCTTTCTTTTTAACAGTGAAAAGATAAGGCTTTTCAAAGAACCCCAAATACTGCTTTCTATCTTCATTTTAAACTAAAGTAACGATGGAGAAAGTAACAGAGAAAGGTAAAACCCAATGTTTCGGCCTTGAAACATTTAAGGACTATTTAAAAGGAAACAAGAAGGTTTGATTAATTTAACAGGAAGGTCTAATTTGACACAATGCCTCCATCAGCCATCAGAAATTAAACAAAATTTAAAAACTAAGAATCATGGCGTTCCACAAAACCCAAGTCAGAATGGGCATCTGAAGGCCGCCCCCCAACTCCCACACCCAAGACACTGAGCAGCACCTTCACCTCCAGGTACAAAAGGGGAAAACTGAGGCTGTCATCCACAGAGTAGAGGCCTTCAAGTAAAGCAGGGGGTGAGGAACTTCAGAAAGAAAGTGATATCTAAGTGCAGCTGGAAGGCTTCAGAGAAGAATACAGGAGCTAATATTAGAGATTCTCAAAAAAATGTTTGAAAACCAAGTGAGACTAGCATCTATTAAAGAGTCAACCCATGTCTTCAGGAGTAGGACTAAAAGGTTTGCTGTGGGCTGGGCAACATATCATCATGCAATATGCATTTAGTGAATAACACGAGAAGCAATTTGACCTGGTTGTTCTACCTGGCCCACAGATGGCTGATGGGTTCTGCATGAGCTGAATATGTGACAAGGGTCAGTGGCCTTAGACAAAGACTAAGTAGCTTAATATTAGAATACAATGGTTATATAGACCTGCATTTCCAAATTCTCTGAAAGAGTACCCTCTCCTTAAAGTTGCAAGGAACAGAAGTTTCTAGTTTGCCTAATGTTACGTATTACAGCCTAAAAATTAAAAAACTAGGTTGGG